TTCTTCATTATAGGTTATTACGAGACATTGAATGTAGTTCCCTGTGCTAAACAGTAGGACCTTATTGTTAATCTATTTTATATACAGTACTTTGTATCTGCTAATTCCTGATTTATCCCTTCTCCACCACTTTTCCCTTTGGTAACCATAAGTTTGCTTTCCATGTCTGTAAATCTGTTTATGTTTTATAAGTAAGTTCATTTGTATCATTTCTCTAAAGATTCCACATATAAGTGATATCACAAGGTTTTGTCTTTTCTGTCTGACTTAGTATGATAATCTCTAGGTCCATCCATGTTGCTACAAATGGTATTATTTCCTTTTTTACAGCTGAGTAGTATTCCATTGTATATACACACAATTTCTTTATCCAGTCATCTGTTGATTCAGGTTGCTTCCATATCTTGGCTATTGTAAACAGGGCTGCTATGAGCACTGGGGTACATGTATCTTTTCGAATTAAGAGTTTCTCTGGATATATGCCCAGAAGTGGGATTGCTGGATCATATGGTAAGTCTATTTTTAATTTTTTAAGGAACCTCTGCACTGCTTTGCATAGTGGCTGCACCAAATGACATTCCCACTGGCAGTGTAGGAGGGCTGCCTTGTCCCCCAACCCTCTCTAGCACTTGACATTTTATGGACTTTTTACTGATGGCCACTCTGACCTGTGTGAGGTGATACCTCATTGTAGTTTTGATTTGCATTTCCTGATATTAGTGACACTGGAGGGCTCAATTACTGCCACGAAGTATCCCTCATCCCTGATGGACCCCCTTCTCCAGCTAACATTCTCCCATCACTGCTTCCCCCACCCCAACCCAAGGGGACAGGCCATATGAGAGGACATGCACTGGCAGGGATGAGGAGTGTCCCCAACAAGAGGGGCCATCACTCCACCCCTGTCCCAACTGGCCCTGCCCCTCGGCCCCCACTTGACAGCTGGTTCCAGCGGGCCCCTAGCCAGTCTCTTACTGCCGGCCTTGGCCTGTGCATTCTGCTTAAAATGCTGGCCTGAAGAGTCTTTGTAAACTGCACACCTGGTCATTGCCTCTGTCCTGCTCACGGCTGGCTGGTGGCTCCCCATGATGGGACACAGCTGGCCCCCTCCTAGGCCTGCAGGGCTCCCCCTTACTCAGTCCTTCACCACCCTCTCTGGGCCCCAAATACAGCTCCTCCCTCTCAGTCTGCTTCAGCCCTGACAGCCTCCGCTTCCCTGCCCCTCCCACCCCCCCACCTGGCAGCAACCTTCCAGAGACTTCTGGAATCCGTCCCCCTCAGCTCCCAAGCTTGCTCACCACTGCCCGATGATGAGAACAAGCCAACACAGACACTGACAGTAACATCAGCACCTCAGGAGTGACCCTCACACCAGACACCCACTCAGTGCCTGAGTCCTGGGAGGTAAGGGAGCGACCGACACCAACCTTTTGCCAATGAGGACGCTCAAGCTAAAGTGGGTCTGAGGCCACAGCCAGGGAGACCCAGGTCCAGATGACCTAAGGTGGGTGTGCTTGCTGGCAGGGCCGTCTCCCCTCCGCCTCCAGGAAGGCAACTCTGAGCAGCACATGTCCAGCATATGAGCAGAAAGGAGGGAGGCCCCGCCCCAGCCCCAGAACCCCGGGGGCCCGAGTACCTTCTCAAAGTGACCGCTGCGGATATAGTAGTCGGCCAGCGAGCACCAGAGCTTGCCCAGCTGGTCGGTGAAGCGGGTGAGGCCCCCGCGGATGATGGCGTCCACGCTGAGTGACTGCACCTTGTCTGGGTTCCGGGAGATGAGGTCGCAGAGCTCGTGCCACAGCTGCAGGGGGCAGGGAGGAGCGTCAGCCACAGCTCGAGGGGGTGAGCCCTCCCGCCCGGACGTCACCCCAAGGCCCACCTGGTAGTTGGACTTGCCGGCCTTGGACACGAAGCGCTCATCATTGACCACGGTGGCCAGGCGCTGTGCTGCCTCGTCCAGCCGGTCACTCGACTTGAGGTATTCAATGTACTCCTCAGCGCTCTCGGGGCTCAGCTGGGCACCGACCCACCCGACAGCCATCAGCGGGGCCATGGGGACATACCACCGTGTCCCCTCCCACTCCTGGCCTCCTATTAGCCAATCACCACTTCCTGGGTGAGAGCTAGCCCTGCAGACCCAGCCTTAGCCATACTTGTCCAGCCTGGGCCCCAATGCTCCAGCCCCAGCACCAACTGGTCTGGCTTATACACCCGTGGTCCAGCCGGCACATGACAGGCCTTGATTTCATCACAAGTGTCCTACCCAAACAGCACTGTGCAAAGGATTTCACAATGCATAACAAACATCGTAAATTAGGGAAAACTGCACAGCACCCTCACATTGTCTGGATCGCAACTCTCAGCCCCACCTGTCATGCTTTCCCTTAGTCTACATCTCCTCTTCCTTGCCCTCCCATGTTGCAGTTTTACTCTGGTTTACGCAGTCAGATCGTGCACAGCTTTTTGCCAAGACGGCCATGGAGCAGGTGTTAGCAAACTATCTGGAGAATAAACAAGTAACTCACAAACAAAAGCCTGTCTGTCTCAGAGAGCCTTCTTCCCATATCCTGTCCGTTAGGGGACATCCCTCATGGGGCTAGTGTCCCAACGAGCCAGTTTTTGGAAAGTCTTGACCTGGGAGCTGGCCCAAGTTCCTGAGCCTCACCTCATCCTTTCGGGGCCTTACCTTGAGGAAGCGTCGGTAGCCCCGCACAGCAGTCTCCGGCAGAGGGTGTGAGCGCAGGAAGCGCAGGTAAAGGGGCCAAATACGAGAGTGCTGTGTGATGGGCAATGCCCGGAGCGCACGGTCAAAAGTGCGGCGGGTGTGCGTGACGCGTCCCTGGTCCATCAGGAATTGGCAATAATCTAGCCACAGCCGTGGCATCTGGAGGTGTGGGGAGAGGCAGGGTTGGAGCTGCTGGCACCACAGCTGGGCCACAAAGACACCAGATGTCCACTGCAGTGGTCCCCTGCAGTGGGACCCAGAACCCCTGCCCCACTAGAACTAAGTCCAGCTCAACCTTGCGTGAGCAGAGGCAACAGGACTCCAACCCCCTGCTCTGTCTGCCTCCCCACTCATCCCCTGGCCCAGCCACACCTCGCCCACACCTTGTGCATGAATACAAATGCCCTCTCGTGGCAGTTGTTGACATCTTCATAGGCGGGGTCAGTCACACAGCGATGCTTCACCTGTGCCCGGCGTGCCTTCAGGTATCGGTACCAGAGTTTATAGCTGGGGGACAGGCGGACAATGAGTGGTCAGCTTTATGGACCCCAGAACCCTGCCCCATGAGGCAAGTGCTGGGAGAAGGGGCCTGGGGAGGGGTGACGAGTCTCTGTGATGGGGGGACGGGTTTGGGACATCAGGGAAAATGTGAACTCATCACAGGACGTATATTCGGTGATGTAACACATAGCAATCATCTGGGTCCTGCTTCTACTAGCTGGTTCTGGTATGACTGGGCAAAGCGGGGTGGGGCTGAAGCGGGCAGGGCAGCTGTCGCCATTCCTACCTGCAGGGCAGCAGCTTTAGCGCCCGTTCATACAGCTGGTTGAGCCTGGGCTTCGGGGCACCCTGTTTGAACTCGATGTAGCGGAGCCAGCATTTGACGGAGAACTGGTTCCTCATGATTTCCTCCTCATAGGGAAGATCCTCTTCCTCCTGCCAGGGCCGGGGTGTGGGGAAAAGACAGACCTACCCTCAGAGCCTGAGCCCGGCACCATTCAGCTCCAAACTCCAGACTTCTACCTGTGTCCCAGATACCATTCCCCACAGTTGGAGCCTGGTCACCAGACGCCCAGATACCAGGACTCTGGTCTAGACTTTTACCCCTCAGAATTCTACTGCCTACAATCTGACCCAGATCATCAGACTCCTCAGTCACAGGGTCCTAAGCCGACATGGGACTGTCACCCAAACATCACTATTCTGGCCCTCAGAATCAAGCTACCACCTCTCTGACCTAGACCACCACTTTTTAGACACTAACACCCTGGTCCGACGCCACGCCTCTGCCCTAGACACAAAGCCTTACCTCCTCACAACGTGCCTCTTCCCAGACACCAGACCTCTGGGACTTCTGGCTCCCACTAGCCAGAGTGTAGCTCAACTCTGCCTCATGACTCAGAAGCTAGACCCTTATCTCAGAAGGAAAGGTGTGAACAAGAGGCTCAGCCTTTAACTCTAGACGCCAAGAATCCAGTAAAGATGTCAGATCTTTACACCAAACACCAACTCTTTGACTTTTCAGGATTCCACTGGCCATCGCCTGATCAGCTCCACATCACCAGATCTTTACTTCTGACTCCAGGGTTCCCCTCGCCCGGATACGAAGCCTTTATCCCGGAAACTATAACGCTCAGGACCAGACCGAGACCGTTACCTAACACACCAAGACTTTACCACTGAAACCAGAGCCCTACACTGGTCACCAGGCCTTTACTTCAAACACCAGGCCTCTCAAGATTTAGATACGCGTGTCTCCTTTCCCTCCTACTCCCTTCGCGTTCCCATCTCCGCCTCAGGCCCAGGACGCCAAGCCCTTAACGTCGACAGCAGCTCTTTACTCAGGCCACCTAAGCTCCGACACCAGACCTTTGCTCTTGACCAGCTTAGTTCGCGTCTCTGGCCCGTAAGGGTCCCGCTGCTCTCATGCCAACGCAGCTTTGGCCTAGATCCCCCGGGAGACCAGGCTCCATCCCCTCAAGGCACCCAGGCCCCGACGCCCAACGCGGACCACCCTCAACGCCGCCGCGGACTCACGAAGACAAGGTCCGGCCGCTCGGGCCTTGACTGTCGCGCCATCACCACCATCTTCCTGGCTCTCCAGGTACGGGCAGGAGTCGCGTGATAATGACGTCTAGGCTGAAGGCCCGCCTTCTCAAGCTAGACTCATTTCCTACTGGCTGAACCCTTCCCGACTGCGCGGCCTGCGTTGTTGACTTTTGCCAGCTACCGGAGGCAGAGAAGCGCCCGATGATGACGTTACCCTGTAGCTCCTCGGACCAATCAGGTTCAGCAGTGGAGCCGTCGGACTCCCAATGAGCTGCTGTGTTGCTTCTTGGTTGGCTTTGGGCGGAAGCGGCGTTGAAGCCTCGGAGGAGCAAGATGGGGGTGAAGCTGGAGGTGTTTCGGGTCAGTGAGCACCAGAGTGGTTGGACGGCTGGCGCCGGGTTTTCCTGGAGGAGGAGGAGGAGGAGGCTCTGAAAAGTGGGGCCTCGGAGAGAGGGCGTTCTGGGACGAAAGCTCCTGAGATTTGAAAGGGAACTTTTATGGTTGAAAACTCGGAGGAGGGGGCGCTGGGTTCGGGGCTCTGAGAAGGTTGATGTGAGGAAAGCCCTCCGAGAGGGGTGATCTGGGAAGGGGGCTCTAAGAAGGAAGCCTTCAGACCCTGGGGGAGCTCTTGGACTTACAGTGTGTGTGCGTCTCTTTGATAGGCAGACTCCTAGGCTTAGGACAGTAGACTGAAGAATGAGACCTTCTGGATCTGGGGTTGCTCCAGGATCTGACTGGGGGGTAGGATAATGAGGTTTCAAAGAGATACCTTTATTGTAGTATGTATGAGCTCTTGTGCGCCTGGGGCTGGTGAGTGTGCGTGTGTGTGTCCTTTGAGAGGAAGCCTTCCAGACTTGGGGAGGGGGTGGCTTTTAGCAATAAGAGCTTTTGGATTATGGGGGCTAGACTTTAAAGTGTGTGGCTTCTGTACCCTTGGTGGGGTTCTTGGCAGGGGTTCTGGGGAGGCACCCCTGGTCTCTGCCAGAGGATGCTCTTCCAGGCTCTGAGCAACCTCTGCACAGGGTGAGAGGGGGAGTAATTCCTGGCTTTGCTCATCTTGCCCCTGCCCTTCCAGATGACCGTCTACCTCACCTTCCCTGTGGCTATGTTTTGGATTGCCAATCAGGCAGAGTGGTTTGAGCACTATGTCATACAGCGCAAGGTGGGCACAGGGAGAGTGGTCATGGGTTCATTCCAGGGGGTGGGGGAGGGAATGGGGCACCAACTTGCTGGGGACCAGTGTCTGCCTCCCATGGATTAACCCTGTCCTGGGTGTAGGGCTCTGAAGGCTTCTAGCTTGTGGCTCCAGCTGTGACTTTGTCCCTACAGAGGGAGCTGTGGCCACCTGAGAAGGAGGACCAGGTAAGCCACATTGTCTTCCCTCCCACCAGAGGATGCAGGGCCCTGGGACCTTGTGGCCATGGTGGACTCAAATGAAAATTTTAGCCTCAGTCATGGACAGAGAACTGACAGTGGAGGGACACATGAGTTTCTTATTACCCTTTTCCTGAAGATTGAAGCTGTTCTCACTTGAACAATGGTTGTAATTGGCACTGTGTAGGCACTGAGCTCAAGCCATGGTCTTGGGGGTTAGGGGGTAGAGTGGTGGGAAAGAGGTCCAGGCCCTGAGGTGTGTATGCCCCTCCTTCCTTCCCACCCCGCCCACTTCCCCAGCGCCAAGAGCTAGAAGAATTCAAAGAGAGGATACGGAAACAGCGAGAGGAGAAGCTCCTTCGTGCTGCCCAGCAGAGCTCCTGAGACCTCCAAGTGCCTGAGTCCTAGCCCTTCCACCCACAAAATAACACACACACACAATTCTTTTGTCACTCGTGGAAGTGTTTTATTGTCTGCTTTCGGGGGCCACGTGGGGCCCAGGATGCCTCAGGCCCTCAGGGGGCTTGTGTCTGGGGCTGGGGGCTGCTGTTCCGACGGAAGCTGAGAGCAGTCGGGTCCTGAGGGGTGAGGAGGGGTTGGGGGCTGAGGGTCCCGGCTCGTTTCTGCGCTCCATCCTGTGGATGAAGATGGGGTCAGGCAGAGGGAGGGACTGGTCAGAGGGGACATAAACATTGCAAGGAGGGTGCAGGTGGCCACCCACGCCCTGCCCTGCCCCATCTTCCCTCACCATCCCTGAGCTTCTGTGTCTCGTAGTTACTCAATATTTGGGGTGGCATTTGGGTGGAAGCTGGTGGGTCTTGGGGATCTCACTGGGATCTTGGTCAGAACCCAAGCTGTGGTTGAGTACGTGTGACATAGACACAGTGGTGACAGATGTGTCCCTCCACCCTAGGGGAGTCTTCCCAGGAAGGGGGAGTGTCTATTCTCTCTGGCCTCCTTGAAGCTCTCAGACTTGGGGGCAGGACCATTGGGTTCCCACCACGGCTTTGACTTCTACATGCCCCCTGCATGACCTTGGTCCCATCTCAGCCCTGTCTGGGCCTTCATCCTCCCTCTGAGCTGGGGTATTGGATCGGCCTTGTGACCAGCAGGGGCCCAGGGCGGGCGCTTCTTCCAGGCATGGCTCCCAGGAACATGTGATGAACAGAGGTTGGGGTGGGGCCCCACGCACTCCTGCCTGGGGGTGGGAGGCAGGGTGCGAGGTCTCAGCCTGTCTGGTCTCTCTACAGCTCCCACAGACCATCACCTACCTTGGGGCCCAAAGGCTGGAAGCCAGGCAGGGCACTGACTGTCACACGCTGGTCATCCATGCGGCGGCCCTGGGTACTGGCCAGCATGTCCATGAGACTATCCATCTCGGGGGCAGGGCCACTCTCTGCATGGAGCAGAGGCCACAGAGGTGAACTCAGGCTCCAGGGGACACAGCCGGGCTGAAGCCCCCAACCCACCCCTCCACCCCAACTCACATCCTCCAGGAAGCATGCTTGTCTCTCCCGCTAACCCCCAGGCTCCCAGACCCACAGGCATCTCTCTTCACTTACCTGCTCACTTTCTGACTCTCACCCATAGGTCCCCCAGGTAGCCCCTTGCCTTGTGCCCATTCACACCCCTCAGACATCACATCCCCTACCATACACCCCCTGCCCAGTCTCACCACTCTCGGAGGTTGGGCCCGGCCCCGCCTGCAGCGAGCAGCGCTGCTCTTCCATCCGGCCACCCTGCACGTGGCTCAGCAAGTTGAAGAAGCCCTCCTGGTCCGGGGAGCCTGCCTGGGGGACAGACAAACTCAGTCCAGCTGGCTGGTCAGCTGGGAGACCCCTCCACTCCCCTCCTCACCAGCCGGCTGCCACCTGACCCCAGGCCTGCCCTGCCTTCCTCCGTGGCGCTCACCATGGTCCCCACCGATGTGCTGCTCAGCAGAGCTGCTCTGAATGAGACAAGTCTCCTTTCCAACCCCAGCCCAGGGACCCTTCCAGCAGGGCCACTTCACGTGATGCTGCCTCAAGGGAGAGGTACCCGGGCCAGCATCCTGCCGTCCTAGATTAGGGCCTGACTGCCTGGTGGCTTGGGGGCTGGGATATGAGCCAGGGGAACGCTCCCGAATCCCAGCATCCCCCACCTCACGGGGGTCTGCGCTGAGAACCCTGACCCCTGTCCTGGGTTTGGGTTATAGACCCCTGGACCCTCCCACCACCTGCACCATCTTGAGCAGCAATGGGGTCAGGGGTCCCAGGAGACCCCCTTGCTAATTAGGTGCCATACAAACTAATTAGTCGTGTCATTCATGGGCCCTTGAGTTGGAGGCGGTGTGGGGGCGGGGCCTGCTTACCTTGTCGCAGGCAGCCGAGCCCCCATCCTCCTCTTCCTGGTCCATCATGGTCCGTGCTCCCCTCCCCTGGGCCCTGTCCCTGTCTCTGCTGGCCTCTGCCCCGGCCCCGTGACAGAGAAGGCTTTTTAGGAGCCTGGGGTGTGGGCGGGGGGAGCAGATACCCAACCCCAAATCCGCAGCTCATACCCCATCTGCTCCCACCCAAGCTTAAGCCCCATAAAGATGATCCAGATAATTGTTTTTGCAGCGTGATGCTGGGGCGGCCGTTGGGGTAGGAGGCAGGGTGACCTGGGTTTGGACCTTGCTGGCCCAACAGGACTCACTGGGCCGTAAGGACTTTCAAGTGGGATGCAGTGGTCCACCAGAGCAGTGTCCCCAGAGCGGGGAGCTTGGGCTGGCTGGGCAGGGCAGGGAGAGGACAGGTCAGTAGGGCAGCTCAGGTGAGCTCTGCAGCCCACCATTGGGAAACAGTGTAGGGTGTTCCTGCTGCCACTTCCCGTCTTGCCCATCCGCATCTGCTGGAAACACAGTTACCATCTGCAGGTGGTGGGAGAAGAGGAAGCTGGGTCGCAGGGCTCCTGCAGTGCCACCAGCTAGCCTACCTCCACCCCTTCCTCTACTCACTGTTCCTGGCTCTGGCTCCCCCTCCAGGCCCCAAGACAAGAAAGTCTGGGACTCCTGTCTCTCCACCACCAATGCCAAGTTGAGCTGTCTTTTCTGATCTGTCACCCCAGCCCAGAGAGGGGACAGGAGGCAAGGAGGAAAGCCCCTGCTCCCTCCCCCAAGAGCTGTGGCTTTCCCACAGTGCCCCGGGAGAAGATGCTGCTGGGAGGACCCCCTGCACCCCATCCCTCCCTAAGATGCCTTGCTGGAAACCAATTAGAGTTTCTTCTCAGAATCAACAGGCCACACCATCACCATCCCTGCTCAAGTGCAAAACTTGGTCCTCCTCCCCAGGCAGCCGTCCTCCATCCAGAGCCCACATTCACAACTTCTCCATGGCCCCAAGACTCTGACGCCATGCTCCCCCATGGGTGAATGAGTTTCCTGGGCTGCCTTAACAAAGCATCACAAACTGGGCTGCTTAGAGCAACATACATTTGTTGTCATACAGTCCTGGAAGCCAGAAATCTGGAATCAAGGTGTCGGCGGGGTTGTGCTCCTACAACCTGGAGGAGAGGAGCTCTCCTTTTCTCTCCCCGGGTTCTGGTGGTTGCGGGCAGACCTTGGTGTTCCTTGGCTTGCAGTGGTAGGACTTCAGTCTCTACCTCTGTCATCACAGATGTTCCCCCGTGTCCTTGTCTTCATGCAGCTGTCACAGACATGGGTACCAGTTGTACTGCATTAGGGACTCACCCCACTGCAGTACAACCTCATCTTTACTAATTGTGCCTGCAATGACCTTATTTCCAAATAAAAGCACCTCCTAAGGTACTGAGTGTTAGGGCTTCAATATACATTTTCCCCCAGCAGGTGGGCAGAGCACCCTTTAGCCTATAACAGCAGTGGACCCTGGTCACCCTCACTGAGTACAGTGAGGGGCAGTAGACCCTACAGATTCTCACCACCAGGAGACAGGCTGAGAAGCTAGAGGGGGTCCTGGCTTCCTCAGGGTCACCCAGCTTCCCCCTTTGCCCCTGCAATCCATCTGTGCCCCCAGGGGCTGCAGGGGTCCCCTCCTTCCCCCGCTCAGAACTCTCCCTTGGCCCCCATTGTCCTCAGGAGAAAACCTGAACACCTTGGAATAATGGGAATGTTCTAAAATTGACTGGTGATGGATGTACAACTGTGAATATGCTAAAAGCCATTGAATTGTACTCTCAGAGTGGGCGAGTTGTACACCATGTGAATTATGTCTCAATCAAGCCATGAAAGAGAGAGAAAGAGAGGAAAGGAGGGAGGGAGGGGGAGAAAGAGAGAAAGAAAGAAACAGAAACAAAGAGAAGGAAAAAGGAAAGAAAACCCCAAACTCCTACCTACGGGGACCAGCCATCCTGATTTGCCCTAGACTGTCTCAGCATTAGCGCTGAAAGTCCTGGGTCCCGGGAATTTCCCAATCCCAGGTAAATTAGGCTGGGTTAGTCCTACCACGTTCCACTGAGGTCTGGCCTCTGCAGCCCCTCCCACCTCACGTCCTGCCGGCCCCCCTTCCCCACCCTCACCTCACTCCAAGCACTCCTCTGACCTCATCCCCTGCTTCTCTCCACATGGTTGTTTCCTGGTATTGTTCAGGATTAAGCCTCAAGGCCACCCCTCAGGGTACTCCTCTGGTACTACCCCCCATAAAGCTCCCCCCTTCCCCAGCGGCACTTGCTGTCAGGTTCCTGTTTATTTTCTTATGGCATAATTGATGATTTCTGTCCCCATCTCCTCCATTCAACTTTAAAGTGCTGTCTGGCAGGCCTTCTGGTTTTATTCACTCTCGTGGGTTCCATGCCTGTCCCATTAAGTGGCATCTGGCCGACTCTTAATAAATGTAGCCAAATAAAAGCATCAGTTCAGGACTGAACCAGTTCGGGAGTCTGCATTCGCGCATGTGCGTCACACTTTAAATCCAGGACCTCATTTGTATGGGCGCTGCCGTCTGGGTCTATGTGAAGAGGTATCAGCCCTTTGCTGGCGCACAGCAGGGGCAGGCCCTAAAATTTCCAGTGGAGTGTGACTTGAGGAGGTTGTGTGTGTGCGCGCGCGCGCGCGCGTGCAAGCGGAAGAGCATGCCACTGAATCCACGTGTGTATCTGAAGTGTAGTGCCAAGCATACCTCCCGGGACAGACTCGTGTTTCAAATCTCAATAGGCCTACTCAGCAGGTGGCCTCAAACAAGGGTCCGGCCGAGCTGCGGTTTCATTGTCTATCCTGCACTCCCTTTCAGGGTCTCTGGCAGGATCGACGGCGAATCTGAAACAGGTCCCTGGCACACAGTAGGTGCCGGCTTACCGCCAACCCAACCCTCCAGGTCTCCGCCTCAGTTTATCAAATGTCGCTCAAGCCCGCTGCTGCTGCTAAACTCGGATACAGAAGGTAAGTGGGTCCCGGTTTGCGGCCCCGCGGTTCCGGGTGGACACACAGTACCCATCAAACACAGAAACTTCTGGCGGGTTG